ACGATAGGGACACGGGGTCCGACAGAAACCCATGGCACTTCCGGCACTTGAAGCCATCCCACACCTCCGTGGCCTCGGCGGCTGTTGCCACCCCTACCTCTTCCGCCGCCACCACGCAGCTCGTCGCGCTGCTCCGGTCCGCAGGCACTGGCGCCAGCGCCTCTCCTCGCGGGATGTTCTCGGCCAGGCAGCGCACCAGCTGCTCCAGTTGCTCGGCCACCAGCTGCTGCCGCTCCGACAGCTGTCTATACATCTCAAGGGCTTCCCGGAGGCGCCCCTCGGACGCCAGGGCGTCGGCCTGCGTGAGCAGGACTTTGCACTCCGGCGTCGAGGCCGTGGGAGGCTGCTGCTGCTCCGGCTCTGGCTGCGACTCCGGCGTCGGTAGAGGTGCCGGACCTTCTGTAGTCGCCTCCGGATTATCCGTATCTACTCGGGTCACTGATGCCTCCGGCTCCGCCAGCTCTAAGTTGTTGCTGGCGAGCTCGGCAGGCAAGCTCAGCATCTGCCTAATTTGTAAAGAATCCATTGAGGGAGGGACAAGCGCGGGAAGAGGCGTCTAGGGGCCGGGGACCCGGAGCAGGGAGCGGCAGCTGGAGAGAATTGGGGCTGCCACCGTGGCCGTGCGGCCGCACACCGGTCCCAGCCGCGCCTCCAAAAGCTCCATGCCGGCTGCTCCGCGCCGCCTAATAACTGTCTTGTCTCAGCAAAGCGTTATATAAAACGGCACCACGTGACACACCGCCACACTGCTCATTGGCCGGTGGCGGGGAAATTGTTACAAAACCAGACAGTTTTGTAACAGTGTTGCGCTTACTTCTTAGGGCTTAGCTTTTCTTGGCTTCTTTTTGAGGTTGTTTGTGTTTACTCTCTGTCTTATTTCCCCCAGGAAATGTGGTTCCATTTCGGACGAGGGGGAGAGAAAAAAACCCCAGTGTTCGCTCTTCGGGCTCTTCCGTCTCTAAACCCAACCCCATCCCACCTCCAAACTCGGCAGCAAACAGGTCTGTTCGCTACTTGCC